AGGGTTAGGGTTAGGGTTAGGGACCAAAGCGAAACATACCTGAGGCTATGAAAAACGCACATCGGAATTAAACGCGGAAATCTTGACAATCGCCAGCTAGACTGCCAGTCTAGCCGTCATTAAGTACGGCTAGCCTCTTTCTTCCCAGAAAAATTGGTCCCCAAAGGGGGAGAAAGGCAGGTGTTCAGGAAGATTGACGCAGCTTTCAGGCAGAGGCAGAAACAGGATTACGATCGAAGACATAGCGCCAAGCCCATGTCAGACTTGTCAAAAGGACAGCCAGTTTGGGTTAAAACCCCCAAGGGATGCCAAGGCTACGGTTGTAGTAAGTTGTAGACAGATCGAGAGACAGATCATACCTCTTGAAAACGGACAACAGCTTGAAAATTCGTAATCGTCACCAGATCCAGCTGAGGACGGAAGGCGACGACAGTAACCAATTCATGATCCCCAGAGAGTCTTCTATGTTGCCTCACCATCAGCCAGAATTACCAGCAGTCACTAGAGCTACATCTAGATCTAGATCTAGATTCTAGATCTAGAAGAGACACAACCCTTCACTACGTCTGACTACATACGAAGTCGGGACGCCATGTCAGGCCTAAATAAGGGGAGTGGGAACTACCGAAAAGGCACCAATGGAATTATGAAGCTAGTATTACAACAACAGAAGGAACAAACTAGATTCTAGAATAGTTCTGATGACTAACCAAGAAACAACATACCAGCTAATTCCAACGTCGACGTGTTGTGATTTTGCGGCAGTAATTTGTTGAAGTTCGATAGAGTTATCGTTCGTATTTCATGTTGACAACCTCGTTCGGATGTGACGTTTCATTTTCATTTTTACTACTTGTTGAACCGGTGACGCACCAAAAAGTGACAGAACTGCAGATTTATTCTGGGGGATAAAATGTCTTCTTGTCGTATAGTTTATCAGTCATAGCACAATATATTTGGTTCACATCTACAGTCGCCAGTTCCCAAAATTAACCTGTTAAAATTATCTTTAAACTCAATAACCTGACATAAATAAAAATTAAGAAAAACCTCCGAAAGAAGAATGATAAGAACAACGTGAACAAGATCTTTAGTAAAAGGTAAAAAGAAGGAGATAGAAATGGAGGAGAGCATACAAAACTAGTCGACTACTACTACTACTACTACTACTACTACTACTACTACTACTACTACTACTAC